GGCTAGGCTGCTCCCTAACCCTGCCTCGTGGCTGCGGCCGGGAGGCAGCTGGGAAGCGTCAGTTCAAGGGGCTTCGTGGTGTTTGAAGAGAGGCTGCCTCCTTCCTCGCTGCGAGCACGAGGAGCCACGGGCTAGGAAGCCCTTGGCTTCACTGCCCCGTGCCCAGGGCCCGGCAACATCCTGAAGGAAGAGCCCGTCCGACCGCACCTCCAGCCTTTCAGGGATTTGACTGAATGGGGTTTTTATTAAAAAAAAAAAAAAAAACACCACACACACACACACACACACAACACAGGCTTCCTTGATCTTCGCAAGAGTGAAACAAGAACTACCTCTTGCCAGCTGTACTGTCCAACATAAGAATGAAAAATAGGGCCAAAGCATGTGTATAACCTTAAATGGAAACTCCCCAAAGAAGTAATCCACTATAGGAAAAGACTGAAGATCAGCACAAAAGTTCATTTCTCCTCTGAATTTGCTGCTAGTTCAAAGAGTCTTTGCAAAGTAAACCCTCCTTGCCGTCCCTTCTCATGCCAGCAGCAGACAGGAGCCCCCGCTCAGAACAAAGCTTGCACTATGCAGCAGCTCGTGACCTATGAGTGCTAATTCCTGCAGTTGTTCAAACAAAAAAAAAAAAAAGGAAAAAAAAGGAAAAAAAAGGAAAAGACAAAAAGATACTTCTCTGTTTTTCTGTTGCACAGTTTTTGGAGGACTCAAATTCCACCAAGGCCCTTCACTGCACTCGGCCATTCACTGAACCATTTAACTTTCAGAAATAGTTCTGGCTCATGGTTGAGGGAATCAGAGCCCTCCTAGAAAGCACCAGGGAGAATTTAGCTTTCTGAGGAAAAAAAGACAAAGTGTTTGCCCAGTGCTTGAGCTCCTGTGTTCAGGGACAGTTATTCCTCCTCTCAGATGTCTGTAGTCTCAACAAGAAGAAAAGTTCTGAACTTAAGGGCTCTGCATATTAACCCCAGCTTGGGGTGAAGAGGCAGCATCACGACTGGAGTTGCTCCGTCTCGGTGCTCCGCGTGCCAGGAGCTGCTCACCAGCTCCCCGCCACACACTCCAATACAGGACAAAAGCAGCATAAGCAGCACCCTCCAACTCAAAACAAGGGCTATTTCCCACTAGTGAAGAATGATGGAGCAGGGAGAAGTTGCTTCTGCTGCAACAGAACTTGTAATGCAAATTCTGTTTCTATTTGACTCAGTACTTCCAGAGACACCCGATGCTTTAGCAACGCTACACCAGGAGAGTGCCTGTCTTCTGCAAGCTAAGCAACATTTCCTGAAACATCTGGATCAGCATCTTCTAGAAAAACACACACACACAAAAAAAAAAAAAAAAAAAACCACACAGAAGGTGCTTTGATATATCCATTTGGTCTATCCATTTGAATCTATCCTTTAGAACCAGCCTCCTCCAGATACGGGGGATGTCCCAAGCCTGTTAAGCCACGTCGCACGGCCAACAACACAGGCTCTTGAATGACATTCAGGAAGCTACAGTCACAAAGGAAGGTCCCCTTATCCAGGGCTGGAGGGCACTAAATGTGCCAGAGGAATCTAGGCGTCCTGGCTCTCTTATCCTCCTACAGCAGCAGCTTCCTTCACAACACAAGTTAAGGCTGTAATTGCCCTTAGACAGCTACAGGAAAACTTGAACATGGTTCAGATTTTTTTTGAGAGAGAGAGAATCCCAAAGCCCTTTAAAGTTTCACTTGCCTTCCTAGGAACTGCACTTCACCCCGATGATGGTGAGGAATCGATTTGTATTTCCCTGTGTCTCCTTCTGGTCGAGTCACTGTATAGCCTGCATACTGCACTCTGTGTTAGAAAGGGGAGAGATAAAAAGAAAAGAAAGAAAAGGGAGAGGAAAAAAAAAAAAAAACAACTGTTGCATTCGCTCTGCCTTCAGTGTTTGTCCAGACTGTGCAATTAGTGCTCTTACAGTTCCTGCAGTAACTTTGTCTTTCCATCAAGCAGATAAACTATGCAAATCCCCCCACACCAATCTAAGCTCCAGGCAAGTTACGTCGCACTCAGCACCTTAAGGTTTCAGGAGTTCCCCCAGGGATTAGTTTGACATCATCATCATGGGATATTGCACACGAGGCCAGTAATTTCACAACCAGCATTTCCCTGTCGGCATCCAGTCTATTGCTTGAGCAGGCTGGAATGCCACCCACTCAAATGCATTTCCCACCAAATCACTTAAACAGGCCAGCAAACAGGGTACAGCCCAGGCCAGCACTGGCTGGAGGAGATGAAAATAATTCTCTTCATAGCATATACAACCTTCCCCGATATAATTTCAATGTAAGGTCAATGGACAAGAAAGACTTGGCACCTGCATGCCCGTCACCCCACCTCGGGACACGGCGCGAGCCGCGGCGCTACCTGTTCCAGAGGTCATCGTCCTCTCCGCCCCAGCCCCAGAACGCGTTGGGGAAGCCATTGATCTTCTGGAATTGCTCTACGGTCAGGCCGCTCACTCCACCAAAGAACTCATTGTACGGGAGCCTGTGTGGGAGAGAAGAGGTCAGTGGAGGGCACAGGGAAACGGCCGTCGCAGTCGGTCTGGCCTCATCCGATTGCCAATTCCAAGTTTTCCAGAGCAGCACTTCCCCCAGTTGCAGGGCGTAAAACCCATGAGAATGTTTTCTTGTATTTCTCTTCCGCATTTATTTTGCGCAAAGCTTGGGAAAGAACCCAAAATTGATTTTCTGTCCCTTTGGAAAAAGTGTACGTCTAACACTGGCTTCTTATCTCTTCCTATAGCATAGAGGCACTGGTGCTTACAGATACATGTACTTATCCAGCTTGGCTGCAAAGTGTCTTGGCATCTGTCCACATCCGTAATAGTTACGGTCGTTTTCTGGTATGTGGTCCACATCGTGAAAGATGAGACAATCCCAGTCCAGGTCCTTCATTGCTTCCCGAAAGCCAACGTTGAAGAGCATGGCACGGTTAAAGGGTTGGTTACCAGCCTAGGAGAGACAGAATTTCTTCTCAAGGGGAGCCCGATACGAGTGCACCTGCTTTGCCTGTGCTGTTTTCTAAATAAGACTGAGAATCTGACGGGGAGCCCGATACGAGTGCACCTGCTTTTCTAAATAAGACTGAGAATCTGACATGCCATTGACTCCCAGTTCCATTGCTCAACAGAAAAAGATGTAGTGGTTTGCGTTAATGTCACTAGTTCCTTATTCCAAGACTTAAATAAGACTTAAATATTTAATCTAGCGTACAACTGCAAGAAAAAGGATGTTGAAGTGTTTTACTCAGATATTCCCCCCAGAAAACAAATAAACCACACACACAAACCCCCACTTTGCACTATCTCTTTGTCTGACACTGTCCAAAAGGACAAGGAGATCTAAGTTTGGTGGCATGTTAACAGGGATCTTGTTCAAAAAAAAATTCCAATGTCTCCTCCAAAACAGAGTTTAAGAAAATCTAGATCTTTATTTTTTTAGATGAAAGACAGGCTCTAATTTCTCAACTGCACCACTCTGGTACCGAGGGGGATGATTTCAGCTCCACAACAAGACCTCAGGAGCGATCATACGCAGCCCTCTAACCCTGCGGCTCCATGAGCTCGCAGGTGAGGCATGATGAGCTGCACATCGGTGTCCGGGCTCGTGTTCCCGTCGCCGAACGCTCCATACGCGCGTGGCCGACCCTCCCAACAAACCAGCTGGGAAGCCCCCACCCCTCACACGGGCCAACCTACCTGCTCAACGACGTAAAAAGCGAATTGTAAACGTTGCCGCTGCAGCATTGGAATCAGGTGTCTGAAGAGGACGGGAAGGTGCTCGTAGCGGTTGCGGAATGGAATTAGGATGGCCACCTGATGGGGAAAGCATGCCCATCACCACACCAGGACACAGTGCTCACGGCAGCCCACAGACCCCTCCAACCCCCCCGTCACTGCTGCTTGGAAGCTTCAGTACCACCTTTTGGGAAACAGCTGCTTAAGAGAGATTAAATGTAATCCTGGCCTTCAGCAAGACTAAGAGTCGCCGTACTCAGTTCTACCCACCAACCTAAGAGCAAGGCCAGGTCCTGGTACCAACATGCCCAGAGGCCACCACCCTCCAGACAGGAATCCCCAGTGATGCCACCTCCATCTCTGGGCCAGGTGTCCCCAAAGCAGAGAGCTGGGCAAGCTGGAGGCTCGTGGCCGGGAGCCAGACGGTCAAATTCCCTGCCCGCCTCCTCAGCAGTCCTTGCAGAAAGCCAGGGTGACTCAGGCGTCACCATCGCAGCCTCCATCTCACTGCTCTGCTTCTCCAGGCTCTGCTGTGCTGTGGGCAGCACTGTGTTCATTTGCCTGGAGCTGCAGCTCATCAAGGCTGGAAATGCTGGAGCTCCCCACTAAGGTCTCCTGCCACCAGCCGCAACCCTCCTGCTGCGCCTGGCAGTGGTACCCAATCCCCCACTTACCTTCCAGCGCGGCAGGCAGTCGCTCGGCTTCCAGTGGCCTCCCAGCTTGATAGAGGGGTCTTTGGAGAAGAACTGGTGGATATCTTCCATGGTGATCTCGCTCATATTTACATCAATGGGGCCCTCTGCAGAGGCAGCAGAAAAGATGCAGAGGTGAGAGCTCCCATCCGAACGCACAAAGGTGCCGCTCGGCGCCTACCCCACTCGATGCAACCAGGAGTGAAGTTGGGCAGAGCACCAAGTGCTAGGGCCGAACACGGGCTGGTCTTTCCCCAGGCACCAAGGCTGACAGGGAATACCCGTGGCACGGCTCAGCTTGCCCGCTCCGCTCTGCTCCTTGCCGGATGAGGCTCTCCACACTGCAAACCCTGCAGCCCTCCGGACCTGCCGCAGCCAAGAGGAATCCAGGCCCAGCTTCACTCAGGAGGGCTCAGCAGTTCCTTGCACTCGACAGCACCAGGGCTGGGACTGGCCCAACCAGCCCGAGGGACGAAGTAGCAACCGCTCCACCGCCTGCCAGCTCAGCACTGGCCATGGGAAGGGGCTGGCCAGGCATTTCCACCGACTCATGGGACACAATTCCTCCTTTGTTCGCATTTGCCAAGCGACAGGCTCTTGCCCCAGAAAGGAGAAGTGCCTCAGACATAGAAGGGATTAATTTGGGCGATCTGGTAAACAGTGATTTCCCAGAGGAAAAGCGCGGCTGCAGAACAGCCCATCCATTCATTTCCCCGCTCCCGCCCTCGCACAGGTGCTAAAGAGAAGAAAGTGAAACACAACACGGCAGGAGGGGAAGGATGCCAGAATACACAGCCCAGAAACATGCAGGAGCAGGTAGAGGGGGTGTCAGGGCTGCGGCTACAGCAGAAATTCTGGCCCCCTCGCAGGGGATGCTCTAGGCTCAGACGTCGGCCTCCCAAAACCCGGCATGCAAAAGCCGTGCCGGTGCTGAAGGGGCCCCAGCTGGGACGGGGGCTGGACACGAGCCAGGACGAGGGCTGCGATGTCGGAGACGGGGCACGGAGCTACTCACTCATAGAAGGGAGCCTCTCAGGACATGTATGGTTTGGGAAGTAGGTAAAGTCTTCAGGAAGAAAAGTTGTGGCTTGCAGAAAGGTTTCGTTGTGATTCAAATCAAGAGGATAATCTAGGGTGGGGAAGAAATAGGAAAAAAAAAAGAGAAAAGAGTCTACTTGAAGCACAGGTCTTTATTCTCTCCAGCCACCTCCCCACGTCACTGCCCACACAGCCCCGTCCCCAAAGCCACCCGGGCATCCCCAAGCAGGTCCTTGTCTCAGCCACCGCCTGACTGGGCTTCCCCCTGCACCCTCAAAGGGCCCTGGGACGTGAGGGGAAGCCCTGTGGGCTCCAGAGCGGGCCCTGCCACAGAGCCGGCCTCTTTCCTCATCCCACAGGGACTCGGAGCTTCACCTCGAGCGAATTGATCAAACGGAAGGAGCATGTGGCCCTCGGAAAGTTATAAAGTTATTTAACACTTTGTCCCCAAAGGGCTGCAGCAGAGACGAAGGGGGAAGTGCTCCTCAAGCGGCTCCTGTCCTAACCCGGGCTTGCAGGAGGACAGTCCCCTGGCACGCGTGCCAGGACGTCAGGAGCGCGGCCTGCTCAGCACAGCGCAGTCCTGCTGCTCGCGAGTCTCTTCAAAGGACCAGCAAAAACCACCCCGCTACATCACACGGCCGTTCACCTGGTTGGCACCGTACCGCACCACCACGGGCCAGGAGGTCCCACCAGCAGGTCAGTGGCACCTATGAGCTCCTTTCCTCACAGCCCTCATCCTTTCAATTCCTTTTACCTTCTGGTAACACGCTACACCTCTGGACATTTAAGGAAGTTTTGGGGTAACCACAAAACTACAAAACTTCTGCTTTCGACACCACCCAAATGCACCAGTTTTACATGTTTAGACTGTCCCAGCCTTCAGGTTAGAGCTAGAAAAGCCTGCCTGATGGAGCAGTGCATCAGCTACTGCTGAGGATGCTGCATCTCTGCTCTCTGAGAGGAACAAAACCCTCACGGAGGGTTTGCTGTTGGATCCCAGGGCACCAAGGACAGGAGCCTCGACCTGAGCACACATCATTCCCAAAGGAGTCCCAAAAGAGGCATAGCAGAAGCCTGACACAGACCAGCTCCCTTGTGCTCCTGACCCACGAGGTCGAGCTCGCCAGATCCTTCCCAGCCCCCTTACCCTTAAAGGGCATTTAATACAAGCACCTGTGAGCAGAACAACATTCACTAGACTGACCCAAAGCAAGAGCCATATGGGTTTCTTATAACCACACTACAAACCAGCTGTTATTCAGGCACCAACAGACAAAGCTGGTTTCGTGTTTCCCCCTCCCCAGAGCCATCTAAGAGCTGAGCCACGGCTGCAGGTGACCTGGGGCACATGGCACACTGGGAGCAGGCAGGCAGCACTTTACATTATTTTACTAAACTCTGTAAAATGCACTTTTTAAACACAGCAGTTACAGCCTTTCAAATAACTAAAGCATATACTTAGGTTCAAAAGTTATCAATACAAAGGAAGTCTCACGTATTTTACACCGAGAGCAGTTTACAGTGTAGTGAAAAGAGCGTATCAGCTAACCTTAAGAGCTAAGAATCTATATCAGATTTACTTTAAGATATGCACATTTCAGTAATTGCATAAACATATTGTGATCTTCATAGCTCTAGAGTGTGACTTTTTTCCTTTTTTTATTCTCTTTTACTACAGCCTTTATGCTATCTCAAGGTGGGGGGCGAGGGAGAGAAGGAATAATTTAAACATTTTAAAACAAAGCAGGGAAGGTTTTCTTGACCTGCAAGGTCAAAAATCTTTCATTTATATCAACTAAGACAACTCATCACCAAGCCTGATATTGCAGCTTGCTCTCTGTTGCTTGCACATGGCATCATATCATTAGCACCTTTAATCTGCTAGACTGAGCAGCACCCAAGCTCCTCAGCCAGACTCAAGACAGACTTGCAAACAGAATCTCAGGGCTTTCCAAATACAATAGCTGTTATCTTGGATGCTAGCTACAACTAAATTCCAAGAACCAGATCCCCATTAAACTCCAATCACCAGGATACAGCTCTTGATACTTGCTCAGCCCTCTATCATGTGCTGACAACACAGAGAAAACCTCAGTTCCACCTTTATGCGTAAGTGCTGTCCTTTTTGCTTGCTAAAGCACAAAAGAGACACCTCTTCACTCAGAAGAGAAAATCGCTTATTGCATCCATTATCAAACACTTTAAAAGTTATTAAAAGAAAGTAGTAGTTTATAGAAAAAGCTAAGGGCATAAAATAAAATGTAGAAACACACTGTAGCAGACCAGCAGCACCTCGTCAGTCAGCACTGGGCATCATTTCTCATTTTGCCTAGGAATCAAGGCCAGGGAGGCACATGTGCAGGACAGCGTTGTGACACGAGCCACTCTGTTTAGGCCACATCTAGGGGACAGACGTGACATTTAGGAGAGGCTGCTGCTCAGGAAGCTTTAGCAGCATCCTGTTTCCCAGGTGCTGCATCCAGCCCGGAGCAGGGACCCAGGTAACAACTGGGTCTGACGAGGCAAGAAGTGTCTGGGGAGCTGCATATTGCCTCATTTGTCACCTCCAGGAGGCAGCAAGAAGGTTGCTTTTTGAGCAAAGAAGCTCTAGAAAACCAGGATGCCTTCCCAAAGTCATGACCAGCATCGTGCTCCTTGGCCCTCTTACCAGGGAGGTCACACAAGGATGTCACACAGGACTTGTGCCCATTAAAACTGTTCTTACTGCTCCAAGCTTTCCAGACAGAAGTGAGTACAAATCTGAGTTTGCAGAACTGAAATGGATCCGAGGCATGAGCAAAGCCATTTATTTCAGTAGCAGTAATAACAGTATCAGAGCTGCTAATGTGGTAACTATTTCCCTGTCCACTGCACCCAGGAGAGATTTGCAGAGCTCTGCGGAGGGCAGAGCTGCCCGGCAGGGCTCAGAGGGTCCCTGGGGCTTTGCTCGCCTCGAGCAGCAGCAGCAGAGGAGCTGACCTGCCTCCTCTTCAGCCCTCACCGCTAGCTACATCCTCTGGTCTCCTTTAGCTGATGTTTCCAGCCTTAAAACAGATAAAAGTGGTAGCTCTGGCTGACTTCAGCACTAGAGGAGAAGACTAAGCAGGGTGTAACTTACTTGCAAAGTTTGGAAATTCACCCTTTCTTCACCTTTCCTACTCAAAGTGCAGCTCAACTGGGAAAATGGCCGTACCATCTACTCAGTGCTCCAGGAACGGACACTTTTCCAGAGGGGAGATCGAGCAGAAGGGATATTGTATTTCTTTTATTGCAGAAAAACTTCTGCCTTTTCACTGACAAAACCTGTCCTGGTTCCTCCTCAAGCGCAGAGCTCAGTTGACGATCACTAGCATCACCAAAGCCCAGTGGCGCTCCTGACTCACTAGTTACATGTAAACACAACCAAACAGTGCCTCAACTTGACACCTGCTTGCCCTGCCCTCCCTCGCAAGGAAATACCTTGCACTTTTATATGCAAACATACACATTTATGCTTCCGCATACCCTGTTTACACCAAAACTTACCATGCAGATAAGCCAGTAAACCTTTTCCTAGCATTGTAGCATGGAAAATAGTCAGGAGTCAGAGCCTGTTACTCTGATCCCTTCCTTCCAGCCGGGGTTCAATATATTGCTTGTGGCAGAGCTCCAGCCAAGACATTTCGGTTCAGCCTCGCAAGGAAATTGCGGAGCTTATGAGAGGAGGCTCTTCCGTGGAAGTGAAGTTATAGTTGCGTGCATGAGTGTGTGAGAGCACTTTAAAATGCAAAGCCAGACCCTTGCACAATTGTTTTTTAAAGTCTTTATCCTCAGATAGGGATGGAGCTAACAGGCTGAATTCCTCAAAAGCAAACTTTTGGCTCAATATCCAGTCATTTGAGACCTTTCAAGATTTCTACCCTTTATACAAGTTAAAAGGATTTGAATAAATAATAATAAATAGAGAAAATCAATTAGTGCTCACATCCCCCATTTACAAACAAAAATTAATTCCTTTAAAGGAGCGTGGTTCAAGTCAACATGAAGTTTCCAGGGAAAAGGGAAACGTTGATTAAAGTGGCAATTATGAAAGGCACACCTGAGTCATTCACACTGCTGTTCCTCTTGGCATAGGCACTGCGGACCACCTGCTCGTAGACCTGAGCTCCTATCGTCCTCATGTTCTCCCGGATCATGATGCCTTGGGCTTGCATCATGAAGAGGTAGGTGTTCACTGCAAGGAAACAGAAAATAAGTATTTCAATGAGTATCCGCTCTTATGGGAAAGAAATACAAAAGAGAAATATGAGTCTTCTGGAATCCTTCCCAGCACTCGGCTTCCTTTTGGCTTCC